ACTCACCTCAGCCTCCCAAAGGTGCAGAATTACAGGCTGAGCCACCGAACCTGGCTCCATCTCTGTCTTCTAACCCTAACCTTAGGGGAATCCCTCTGTCCACTAAGGGTTCCTAGGCCACCGTTTCTCTGGAATCTGTGGCTGCCACAGCCCATGGGCAGTGAGGCTCCGATCAGGGACCCTAGCCTCTGTCCAGGGGCCAGATCGCTGACCTTGCCCTCCTTCTTAGACCCTGGCCCCTGCAGGCATACTCCTGTTCCACCTGGCAGTCCTGTATGCCAATTACAAAAGGTTTGGGTCCTAAGAAACCTGACCCTCATGCAGGATCTCAGTTGGCATCCCCAGTGTGGTGCAGATGAAGGGCAAACCAGGGATGGCAAATGGAGCACTCCATGAAGGGATACCAGATGGTGCCCATGTCCAGCTACCCTGTGAAAAATGCCTAATATTGGGTGAGAAGCTGCGACTTTCACAGGCTACATGATGTGATGAACTCATTACCTCCCTGGTCACCTGGCAGAAAGGGGTCTCAGTAAGGATAAGCTTTGATTGGGATGGTGGAGAAGGTCTGGGGCATAGAATGCGACATCAGGACCTTTGGGGGCCTGGGAGAGGAGGAGGAGTGACCAGCACATGGGGTAGAAACTGGAGATAGATATGATGAAGCTGGGACCACAATCCAGTCTCCATGACCTTCGAGGTCTGTAGTTCCAGCATTTGAGGACTCTCCTGTGATTCTACTTAGGCACCTCCTGTGGGTAGGCGGGGCATCTCAAATTCAACCTTCTATTCAAAGAATCCAAGGTTTCAATATTTATCATTCTAAGATTCTTGGAGGTCTCCGAAATTCTTTGGGGCCTTAGGGATTCCCGACTCCCTTAACATTCTGGGAAGTTCCTTTAACTTTGTACTTGGCCAAAGACGAAGGGCAAATCCGGCCGGGAGTAACCCTTTCCGGCTGTGGCCCAAGGTTTGGCACAAGGGCAGGCTCCTCCCGGACGCCCCTTCGTGGGCGGGCCTTGAGACCGTGAGGGTGGCTTCCCTGGGCGGGGCCCGGCC